TTTATATAACGTTACAATCAAAGAAACACGATCAAAATACGATTTAACGTTATCTTTAATAGCTGTCAACTAACTAAAGTTCAGACTTAACAAACTGGGTCACGCTAGCAAAACTTAGCTCACCAAAAAGCACCCTAAATCTCTAAAAATACCACAAAAACACAAGACAGTCAGAATGCAAGCATAAAAACACTCCATAAAACCTCACAAGTACTAAAACTACACACACGAACGCTTAATTTTGTATAAATAGGCCTCTCGTACTGTCAGATCAGTTAGCCGCTAATGCTAACAGCCCCATATAAACAAACTTCGAAACTCTCGGAAAACCCCTGGTAAACAGGCTCATTGTCTACCTGTATGACCTCGTTGACATCCCTGATGCACTCCACCATGTGCTGGAGGATCTGCTCGGTGGTCAACACCTCGAAGCGGTAGTCCTCATCCTCCTGTCCGGGCCCTGGGCCGCCGCCGCCGGTATCCGCGCAGTCGTCGGGCTCTCCTCCGGCCACCGCGGGGTCCAGCAGCTCCACCTCGCCCAGCTCCAGCGAGTCATCCACGGCCTCCTCTTCTCCGCTGTCCACGCTGCACTCCTCCTCCTCTTCTTCCTCCTCCTCTTCATCATCAAACTCATAATTGTAGCCCTCGTCCGAGTCCATGGCGGGGCGAATGATATAAAGTGTCAGGGAGTGAGTGAGTCTGTGTGTTGTGGTGTGTTTGACCTGCGCTTTACTGACTGAGCGGATCCTTATTAGAGACGCGCCGCGTCACTGCTGCGTCACTCACTCACTACAGAATATCCATGCTTCATAATAAGACAAAGCTATGGATGCTTCCTCATAGTTGTTTTCTAACAAATAAAGTAAAAGAGATTTCTCATAAAATAATTCATAAATTCAATCCGGCCAGTCATTATGTGAAAAAATATAATCTCCTCCGACTGTTCCTTTTGTGATGATTGTTTTGAAACTGTTGTTCATCTTTTTTGGTACTGTCCATTTACAAAAATATTTTGAAAAAATGTCTTGAATTTTATTCGAATCAAATTTAGAATGAATGTACTTTGTATTGGAAAGATGTAGCCTAGTATTGGGCTTTACTGATTATGAACAACCTAAAAGTAAACAGTTGTATGCGGTGAACTTAATTTTGCTTCAAGCTAAATTTCACACTCATAAGTCAAAATTCTCTAACTCCAGACCAATGTTTGTGGTTTTTATGAACGAATTGAAACAATACCTTTACTGATTCAATTGTCTCATAACAAAAAGGCTCTAAAAACTTCAACTGTCTGCGGTTCTTTCCATATGTTTAATAAGTAAATTTAGCCTTTTCAATATGTATTTTTGTTTAACTGTTTCTTCTTTTTTTGTTTGTTTTTTGCAGTTTTTCTTCATTGTTAAAGGTGATTGTTCTGCCTATGTGGTGATGCATATAAATTGTATACACTGTTTATAGGCTTAAAAAAAAACTACATAATGAGAGGGTTCTCTTAGCATTAGACAAAATCTTTTTTTTTCATTAGCTTCTGGTTTACATCTTAATATTCATAAATGTGCACTTTTATCTATAAAAGAGACTATCACTAAATGTGTGACTTCCCAGTCAAATCTAAAGTCAAAAATATCTAGATAATTGTATGTAAAGATAAAAAAATAAGAGATTAAAAACTAAATTTTGAACCTCTTATAATCTCTATGCGGCACAAATTAAATTCTTTTGAAAAAAAATAATGTTTAATCTTAAAAAAAAAAACTCTTCAATGTTTCAGAAGACTTGGGGTATATTTATTGAATACATGAATAATTTGACTGACTGAAAATATGAATGGATAAGTATGACACTTCATAGCTTTAATCCTTTATTAGTCATTATTGTTCTATTGTTTATTTCCTCTTAATTTACACATCAGCTCGATGTCTCAAAACTCTCTATTTAAGTGTTCTGTCTTGTGAGGGTGGGAAAGGGGTGGAGGGTGGTTAGATTTTTTTTTTACATGTATACTGAAATGATTCTGTAAATTATTGATGTGAAAATAATGAAAAAATATATTGATAAAAAAACTAATTCAATTGTAAACTAGAGGTGAGGAGAAAATACTAATGAACCTAATTTTAAAGGGTGGTATCGATAACAGATTTTTGCTAAAATATTTGTCATGATTTGCAGTCACAACTTTCCAAACATGGAAACGGCACATACATGAACTAGATACAAACATTAGCTACACTGTAAAAAATTATATGATCCATTAGTCCTGACAGCACATGTTTTAGGTCATTTTAACTTACTGAACTAAGCTAATCATGTTCTATCTTAATTTTATAAGTTATGCAACCTCCCAATATGTCACTTTATCACAATTATCATGTTTACAAGTTCTTTTTGCACTATACTGTTTTTTATCTGCACAACTCTGGTTTACTTTGCACTCATTGCTATATGCCCTTAATGTCACTGTATTGTTTACAATTTTTTTATTACATATGTATATTTCTTAGACCACATTTATGTGCAATGTATATACTGTAAATTTTCTAAATTTTCTTTTTTTCTTAAACTCTACTATTTTTTATATATATATTTTATATTAATGTTAAGCACCTTGGGTCTGAGAGTAACGCAATTTCGATTCTCTGTATGTCTTGTACATGTGGCTGAATTGACAATAAAGCTGACTTTGACTTTGAAGCTGTTTTAAGTCAGTTTAACATAATATAAGTTCAATGAACTCATGATTAATTTGATTCAGCTTAAAAAATTAAGACAAACAATCAGGATTTTTTTTTACAGTGTAGTAAAGATTTTATAGAGCATATCTCTAATTTAAAAATATGGAAAGTTGCAATTTACTAGTTTATTATTTTATTGCCCATGATGTTGTTGTTTATTAACATATTAAATAAAATGTTTCAAGTATTAAATGAATGTTTATGTGCCTGACTTAACCTTAAAAAAAAATCATAACATTGCATTGAAAGGTGATCCACTTACATTGTATTTACAGAATTTTTACATATTACAATTTTTGACCCAGTGTGTGAAAACCAGGCCAAATCCAATTCTGAGATAAAGTTTGACTGTAGCCATGCATTCATTTCACTGTCATTTCAGTTGTTGACATTGTTTTACTCATTTAATATTAAATAAATATAATCTTCTTATTATTATTATTATAATTATTATTATTATCATCACAGACTGTTCTTTTTTATGTAGAAAACAGTAAATTATATATATATATATATATATATATATATATATATATAAAAACAATGACTCCAGCTAGATTTTCTTTGCGGGAATGCTGCTCTCCGGAGGCATGTTGTCGCACAGATCACCATAAGCCACAGAAAACGCTCTCCGACAAATCGTGCAGTTGGCTTAATAATATTTCTAACACTCTGCAGCCAGGTATTTGTTTCCTCCCATTCCCTGCAGTATTTTTTCATTCGCTTGCGTTTAAACTCTGAAACTTTAAGATGCGGAGGGTTACCTGGAGAAGCATCTGCCTTTACTCTCTGTCAAGACTTGACAGACTCTACTTAAAAGACCCGCCCTCTTCACTGGACAGTTAAACTTCCCCTATACCGTAATACACCTACAGTAAAACACAGATTGCTATAAACTCATCAATGGCAGGAAAGTGTTTTCTTTCGATAACTGCAGGGAAAGAATTAAACAAAATAATTTATCGATTTGACGCACATCATAATACCAGCCATACATGTGAAGCACAAAAAATGTCCTTCAATTCAGTCACATCCAGCGCCTGTCACCCTTGAACCATCACTGCAAGCTGTTTGCTTTTCTGTCTGTTCCATTGCTCCATTTGTTAGATGTTTGTTCACACTTTATTTTGCAGTCTGAAGTGCGTCAAACGCAAAAAAAAAAGCCTGATTCACGCCTCAGGATGCCTAATTCCATCTTCGCATTGACTTGCATGTAAATTAAATGCTTTCAGGATCCGGTTTGCTGGAGGAGAGGAGATGGGGCAGGAGTATACCAAACTGTAGCTTTACTTTACTTTACCGTTTCATCCTAAGAAAATTTAAGCAGTACTAATGTTTAAAGTTTAGAGAGAAAATAGTATAAAAATTGAAGAGAAATTATTGGTATTTGGCATTTATATATTTTTTCTTTTTTTTTAGGGGGGGAGATGTTAGGTCCCATGTGGGACCTGTTTGTATGTGTGTGTTTGTGTGATTTTTGCAGAGCCTGCATGCATGATTGCAGATTGGTGGGTGGGTCATCCCACCTGAGACTCATCGTGGGGTGTTTATAAGGAGTCCGGCATTCTGTCTAAGGGAGCTCGATTAGCCGGACGTCTCTGCTTGGCGCTTTTGTTTTAGTTTGTGTTTGGATCATGAGCTCAGTACACTTCCATACACATGCTTTTCACTACTGACTTTCACCTATACTGGCTTTGATTGCTTTAAATACTTTTGTTAATTATACATTTTGTTAATAAATCATTTCTCTTTTCAATTTACCTGGTCCGTATTGTCTCTCTAATGTTGCAACGTTGAGCCGGTTGTAACACTCACGCTTCATGCGTGTCTGCTTACTGCACAGGCTGCAAAACAACCCCCTCCCTTCCTTTCTATGTAATGTAATGAATGTGAGGGTGCAGGTGAGACGTCATTTTTTGAGAGACACTCAATCACGTGCGCTGCGTATGTGATGTCTATAAATCATGTAAGACAAATAATTTCAAACTGAAATAAATATAATATGATTATATGGTTTGGAATTGAGAGATTATTTAAGCTTTTTGCGTTTATTTTGCGTTTAAAATAATAATTGTATTTATAGAAAAGACTATTATATATATAGAATATGGAAAAAACAAGCCACGCCCACTGTCGTGTCGTTTAATATTCTGTTTCTCTAGGAACTGTCACAATACGATAAAAAAAAAAATGGTCGCAGCTTCCGGTTCATGCGGATTTTAAGCCCACACCCCCATACGATGACAAATAAATCCACAAGAAACAAAGTCAGTCTGAGATCCATATGTTTTATTCTCTTACAGGCAGGGCAGTGTAAGTGTGTGTGTGCATTTAGATACATTCTCATTCTTGAAAGAGAGTTAAAAGACTGGCAGGGTATAGTGACAAACATGAGAAGAGTTTTTTCTTTTCTTCTTTCTTATTTTGTTTCCTAAAGAATGACAGTTCAATCACTAAATATTGTTTTCTGAAGTAAACATATGGCCACAGTATCAGAAGTCCGTTCCTGAATAGTCTTAATTATTGTCTATTTATAATTTATACTGCAGATATATCAATATAGCTATACATTTTTGAGATAAAGTCATCACTATGGTACATGATAGAGCTGTTTTATTGATAAGTCCCATTGATTTTATATCTTTTTTTTTTTACACAACAACTGGAAACAAGACAGTATTTATTTATGTACACTCACGTGAAAAGGCAGTGCTATACACAACTTTTTGGTGAAAAAGTACAGCAGTCACAGCTTATAAAGTCAAAGTATTCAATAAAGCAGCAAAACAATACTGAGTTTTTTTGTTTTGTTAAAAATGCTAAAATCACAATGTGATACGCTTATTTTTTAGTAGTTGCATGCAAAACAACTTAAAAGGAAACAAATTGTGATCAAAGCATGGGAATTAAGCTATAAAACATAATCGACAGAGTATAAAATAAAACACTTGTCATGTGACACATGATTCGCGAAGCACTGTGGTGACAAACCGCTGTACTTTTTCACACAACCACCCAAAAACTCAACCACTCCACCCTGAAACGATATATAAAAAGCAAGTCTAAGTTATTAAAATATTTCGCCGTCGAGATAAACCACTATTTATTGTAATACAGCAACAACCGTAGAAATGATTTGTTTTATTTTATTTTAAAAAAAGCAGATGAGAAGAAATCTCTCTATGCTTATTTTGCTACTGATTGCACGCCATACCAATAACAAATAAGATCGTTCTAAAGTTACGCGTCTCGTTCTGCGATAAAAAAAAAAAAACATGTCGCAGATTCAGCCGAGCCATTTAAAGGGCGCATTTTGTGAACTGGTGCGAACCATTCAGCAACTCCTCCTGATGTCGTTTGCATTTATGGGCAGTGGTTTTCCAAAGAAATAAAAAATAAATAACAACACGTATTCATTATATATTCATTTCAAACTCGAAGTATGTAGTTGGCTTTTTTTGGCAATCGGGTGGAAAGGAAAATGATAAAAAAAACTTGCATGCAAAAAATTCAAAAGAAGACGTCAAAAAAAGAGATGACGAGAGTTAGCAAAATTGAACGTTTTTTTTTTCATTGTTTGTTTTTTTTAATATACGAGCATACAGTATTTTCTCATGCACATCGATGTCCACCAACCATCAGTGCCACCAACTACACATACTTCAGCAGGACATTCCACACAATCTTGTTCAATAAATAAAAAACAAAACAAAAAGTACAATCCGAAATAAAATAATATAACATCCTTCGCCTGAGACGTCGTTAGTCCCGTTTCGTCATTCTCAAAAGTCCTGAGGAAAGCTTGTCCTGTGCGCCCCTCCCCCGACTTCCCTTTAAAATCCCAGCCTTTCCCTTACGAAACTGCCAACCTTTGTGATAGCTTGGTGTTCAATGTAAACATAACCGTAACATTAGTGAACGTAGGGTCAATTGTGCAAGCTTCTTTATGCGCTAGTGTTCAAAGGAGCCTCTCAGCACTTTGTGTGTTGCAGGACACTTCATAATGGTGAATACGCCAGACACGATGCATTCATGTCTTTTACGATAGTACAAAATGAGGTCTTCTGTTCTGGATGAATCCTTAAAATCTGGAAGTCTCGGGAACTGGCCGCGTTGCTGCTACGCATGCATGTTTCTACAATCAGTTCAGAAAGAGCAAAGAAAGTGAACCCACCAAGTGCTGGGCGAAAAAAAAACAAATCAATGAGTCTAAACCATAGACGACAATGCAGTTTCCTTGGGGTTGGGACTAGCAGCGGAAGTTCGTAGCGTAGATGTATGGTTTACAGGCAACACTCCATCAGCGGGAGAAAAATCGTTGAGTTCTCCGGAAGATGAGAGCGGGAAGGATGGAGAAAGAGAGATGCCGGAGGACGGGTCAGCAGAGCCGGCAAATGTGCGAGGAGGCTTGGGAACCAAATTGGGCTCTAGCGCGGCTCTAGCTAGTAGCTTATCCGCGTTTTTGACACGCTGCTCCTCTTGGTGTTCCTCAGCCTGACTGTAGGATCCCCGGCCGGACTCGGACTCAGCATCCGAGAGCTCAAGAGGAGGCGAACTGCTTCCGTCCAGCCTAAACAGAGAGTCTAGGTACTGGGCGAACTCTAGGACCGCCTGACTGGGAGTACCGTTGGATAGTGGAGTAACTGCGGGAAGAGTTTGGGAGAGATCAACTTTGACCTCTTTTTCTTCAAACTCCCTGAGCTTTTCTGGACGAGAACCAGTCCGGGATGCTACACGGTAGGAGTCTTGACTGTCGGGAACCACAGATGAATCTGTTTCTGGATCTGTGGTACTCTTCAATTCTGGAGTGAAGTATTCGTTGTTGTATGGGATGTCGTTGGAGGGTTCTTCTGGCTCTGGAGGTGTAGGAATGTATGGTCCAGCCTCCCCCAAATCTTGGGTCAACCCTTCAGCAGCTAGGAGCTCCGTACGAGAACTCAATGAAGGATTCTCTTCTGGGATTGGGGCATCCAGTGGGAAAGGTAGGCTCCCTAGGCAGGGTGAGCCCCGTAGGGCGGCAGATGATCGGCGAGAGTCCAGGCTGTAGACGGATTCGGCATCGGACAGGCTTTCCATGATGGCCAAGGGGGCTTTTCGCTCCCGCAGCTCCACAGCCAGTCGCTCACGGGCTCCGGTGAGCACAATAGGGACAGGAGGAGGCGGACACTCAGAGAAGCCATCAAGGGAGATCTCAGACCGGGCGCAGGAACTACAGCAGGGCAGGACGGGATGGGACGGGGGCACAGGAATGGAGGAAATTAATGAGGAAGGGGTGTAAGGTGGTTGATGGTGAATTAAACAAGTAAGGGATGTTAGGATAAAAAAAGATAATATTTAAAAGATGCAGTAAAAAGCAGGCAAAATAAAATAAATATATTGTTCACAGCAAATTGACAAAAAAAAGATGCAATATAAAAGTCCAAAATTAAATATGTAAATGTTATAATGTTATATTAATTTTACATAAAAACAAACAAATATAAAATAATATAAGTATTTTATAAAAAAATTAAAATATATATATTTTTATTTTAATTAATTAAAAGAGGGGGTATTTTTATATTAGGATTTAGATATTGCATATTAAATTTATATTTAAAAGATGTCATAAAAAGGAGGAAAAACAGAAAAATATGGACATGTTCATTGCAAAATATAAAAAATAATAATTAATGAATTAAAATAATGTAAATAAACACAAAAGTGAAGGCAAATATTAATTGTATATATTATATATAATACATTTTAAAACATCAAAAATATATAAAAAAATATAATAATAAAAATAGTAAAAAGGTAGACAGATAGACCGGCAGCATGGAAGGGGTGTGAGGAGGTTGGTGAATGAAATGAGGGAGTAATTTGGATATTAACATAAAAAAAAGATAATGTTTAAAAGATGCCAAAAAAGGATGGTGAACAGAAAAAATATGGACATGTTCATTGCAAAATGTAGACATTTGTTTTGGGAAAATTGTTAATAATACAAAATTGAAGTTAAATATTAATGATGCAACATTTAAAAAAATCAAACAAAAACATAAAATATTATAAATAATTATAAACATGTCAATATTAAATATGTAAAATAATATACATATTTATATATAAATAATACAAAATCATATGTATATTTTTAAATTAATTTGTATTAAAGCAAATAAAAGTTTGGTGTATGTGTAAAAACAAATGATGAGAACGTGATTAGGTGCAAAAAGCAGAGAGCAGGGGAAAAGAAGGACAAAGGGAGGATTATGGTTAGACGCAAAACTCTAACATGTCTAACATCTAGACTCTGCGTTTCTACTAAACCAGAGAGGACGAGGGGGGAACTGAATAGTACCGTACACAGTACCTCTGCAGTGGGCATGAGTGAGAAGCACAGGCAGCAGTGTTAAAATCAAACCAGAAGAAAATCTACATCATTGGCTTCTGCTTTTATTGGCCAGTTATACTTGTTTCTAACAATGTAAAAAAATTGAAAGTTGACTCAACTAAAAATTGCGAGGCAACTTGCTGCACAGCTTTTTTTGAGTTGACTCAACCCAAGTACTGTAGTTGACTCGATTTACATAGTCAGCCAGTTGCCTTGCAATTTTTCCTCAAAAGTGATTTTGTTGAACATGTTGAACAAACAAAACCCGCCACACACATATACACTACCTGACAAAAGTCTTTGCAGAGATGTGTGAATGCAGACCTCCAAGCTCATGGGAGTCATACACAATATTAACTCTTTGTCCACTGCACCATGACTTTATATTCTATATCAGGGGTGTCCAAACTACGGCCCACGGGCCATTTGCGGCCCGCAATCAGTTTTGTGGCGGCCCGCGAGGCTTTTGATAAATATTAATAGAATCTGGCCCGCTATACAAAAATGAACGTAATTCAATAAATAACCACCGGGTGTCGCTATTACATGCCGATAATTAGGCAGCAGTTCTTGTAACGATGCAAAACGAACCAAAAAAAACTGAAGGAAACATAATTGATAACATTTTGATTTACATTTTGGCAAGCCATGGCGAAACCAAGAAAAAGGAAAATCAACAGTGAGTGCAGGAAATTTCAGTCACGTTGGGGAAAAGAATATTTCTTCACAGAGGTCAGCGGGAAATGTATCTGCTTAATTTGCCAGCAATCAGTTGAAGTAATGAAGAAATTTTATATTAAAATACATTATAAAATAAAACATCAGGCCTTCAGCTCTTACACTGGTGCCGAACGAGATCAAAAAGTAACAATTAGCAGCTGCCCTATCAGCTCAACAACACCAGTTTTTTTGTGCTAATAAAGTGCAAGAAAATTCTACACTGGCTAGTTATGAGGTATATATATATATATATATATATATATATATATATATATATATGCATTTCTGTGTGATGTATGTAAAATTTGGCCCGGGACGACGTTTTTGTTTTTTTTTGCATCTGGCCCTCGGCCCTAAAAGTTTGGACACTCCTGTTCTATATTGTACATTATTTCTGTTAAGTGACAAGACTTTTGTCAAAGCAAAGTCAGACCTTACTGTGCTAATTAAATGGTTAAAAATTAAGACATTTTATTTTGGTAAAATAAGTGTAATCTAGAGGCCTTTGTCTCATATAATACCAAATGATCAACTAGAAGTCAATTATTATTCGTTGTTCCTAAAACTTGGATGGACGACAAGGCTTTTGTCAGGTAGTGTACATTTAGGTTTTATAAAAACATATGAATAATAATAAAATACAATTAAGTAATAATATTAAAGTAAAAGATATATAAGAAATGTTGCTGTTTTTTCACAGTGTAACATTGACTGAACTCACCGGACACTGCTGTTTCTGCGGTGGTGTGTGGCTGGCGTAGGCTGTGGCGAATTTGAGGTGTCCAGGAAGATGGTTTCTGGATTCAGGTCCACTTCTGTTGGACTGACCATTATCTTAGCAGCAGACAGTAAAGCTGTCTTCCCTTTATTGTAGTTTTCCAACACCTGCAGGATGTGGAGGGGAAAAGAGAAAGCACAAGCCGGATGATAAAACATCAAGTGGAAAAACAAATGTAGGAATGGATTAAAAACAAGCGATTCTCACAGTACTTGAAACTGGGAAAATGTTCTTGTAGTCAACATCTGAAGTGGATCTAAGGTCATTTGTCCTGACAGAAATGGGCGATGTTTGTTTGTTGACGTTTGTTGTTTGTTCAAACTACTTTAAAATGAGCTAAAACAACACAATTCTTCAGTTGTTTTTTTTTAGGACAACTTAATTGTTCTATGTAGTACCCTGAATAAAAAATCATTGGATCCTGATTAAATGAACTTAAATAAATTACTGCAACTTCTTACTCCTAAAATAATAGTTTTTCCAACATTTATTTCTAAAAATCCGCAATAACTAATTCATTTATGGTGTTGTAAAAAGCTGAAATAATGTGTCTAAGTTGTTAATTTTTACAGTGTAGTCAATCATTGAAGTGGATCAAATACATTTCCTAAGATTTGGGGTTGTTCGATACACTCAGAAAAATGACGTTTGTTGTTTGTTTAAACTGCTTATTTAAAATGAGCTGAACATAAAGCTGCGGTCACACTAGAGTTTGAGCATGCGAAATTCTGTCGTGCGGCGCTGCGAAAAGGGGCGGGATTAAACAAGCTTGTTAGACATTTTTAAAAGCGAGTGATTGCTCCATGTTTTAAATTTCTGTCCAGATATATAACATTTTGATCCCCGATTGGTCTTACGCAGTCAAGTGATGCGATTTTGCAGGTCAGAGTTCACCAAGCTTGAACTTTGCATCTTAGCTACCGGCGAAACGTAATGCATGACCTTGCGTTTCCAGTCTGACGCATTTGCGTGCGTATGAATGGAAGTCTATGGCAGCTTAATTCTTGAGTTTATCTTTTTTGGGGGGGGGGGGGGGGGGCAATAATAGTAATTAATAGTTTTATGTTTAATCGACTTAAATTAGTAAAAAAAAAAAAAAAAAAAACGAATGCTAACTTAATTTCTTTATGTTGTCCCAACACAAATCAAGTAAGATGTCTTAATCGTTTTTACTAATTTAATTAGATAGATCATAAAAGAATTAAAGGCAGAAGGGTGCAGAGTTCATGCAGTCATGGAAAACCTGGAAGAGTCATGGAATTTTGACATGGCATTTTTGGTAAAGTATTGGAAAAACAGAAAAACCCACAAGGTTTTGGAAAAAATCATGGAAATTACATTTAGATTAGTCATTTTTAGCAGACGTTTTTGGTCAAAGTGACTTAAGCTGCGGTCACACTAGATCTTGTGTGTGTGAAATTCTGTGGTATGGCGCTGCAAAAATGGGTGGTATTAAACAATAGGATTAGACGTTAATAAAAATGAGCGATTGCTCCATATTTTAAATGTCTTATTTTAATGATCTTCTATCAGTCTAATGCAATCACCTGATGCGATTTCGCAGGTAAGAATTCACCAAGCTTTAACTTTCGAACGCAGTGAAAAGTGAAACTTGTCACACATGCTTGCGTTTCTGGTCTGCCACATGGAAGTCTATGGAGCGAAAAGTGCAGTGTGATCGCGACTTTACAATAGAAGTAGTTTTCCCTACTATTACTAGTTTAACAAACTATTAACATCATCTAAAATTAGTTTGACAAATATCTGTATACTGGAATGAATGTTAGTTTTTTTTTTACTTCTTTTCTTGGCCAAAAACATCATTAGTGCTGTGTAAGCATCATCTATTTTACATAGATATAAAAATAAATTAAAACTAAAGAGATTGTTGCGTGTTTTATGATATGCTGTAATGAATTTAAACATTCATTGTTTTTCTTATGATTTACCACAAATGCGTAGACATCACATGAATCATTAGGTCATGAAAACTCACTCGAAAGTCCTGGAAAAGTCATGGAATTTGTGTAGTAAAAATGTGTATGAACCCTGACGGTGGCACAGTGGGTAGCACAATCACAATCACAGCAAGAAGGTCGCTGGTTCGAACCCCGGCTGGGTCATTTGGCATGTCTGTGTGGAGTTTGCATGTTCTCCCCGTGTTGGCGTGGGTTTCCTTTAAGTGTTCCGGTTTCCCCTACAGTCCAAATACATGCACTATAAGTAAATTGAATAAACTAAATTGTCCATAGTGTATGTGTGTGAGTAGGAATGTATGGTTGTTTCCCAGTGATGGGTTGCAGCTGGAAGGGCATCCACTGCTTAAAACATATGCTAGATAAGTTGGAGGTTCATTGCGCTGTGGCGACCCCAGATCAATAAAGAGACTAAGCTGAAGGAAAATGAATGAATGAGGAACATAAAAGAACTAAGTTTTTACCCCCAAAAAAGTGTTTGATTCACTTCAAACGTTTATTACTGTATTTTATATATATATATATATATATATATATATATATATATATATATATATATATATATATAGCAGAGATCACCAATCTCGTTTCTGGAGGTCCGGTGCCCTGCAGGGTTTAGCTCCAACTTGCCTCAACACACCTGCCTGGTTGTTTCAAGTATACCCAGTAAGACTTGTTCAGGTGTGTTTGATCAAGGTTGGAGCTAAAATCTGCAGGACACCGGCCCCTCAGGAACAAGTTTGGTGACCCCTGCTATATAGTGTATATATTAAATGCATCTGAATGTAACGTGAATGTGAAATGTACCAGTTCAAGACACTTTTATCAAATATTGATTTTTTTTTTGTATCGAAAAGCAAACTTGTTATGAATGTTTAAAATAAGGTTTTATTTGTTAATGTATTTACTAGCATGAACTAATAATGAACAATACCACAACATTTATAAATCAATTAACCCATTATTAAAATCCAAATTCATGCTAGTTAATGCCCTTTTGTTGACTAACAATAACAAAGATGAATAAATGCTGTATTAAATGTATTGTTCATGTTTGTAAATAGATTAACATTATTTATTCATTCGTTTATTTTCTTTTCGGCTTAGTCCCTTTATTAATGTGGAGTCGCCACAGTGGAATGAACCGCCAACTTATCCAGCGTATGTTTAATTCAGCGGATGCCCTTCCGGCTGCAATTCATCATTCACATACACTACAGACAGTTTAGCTAACTTGATTCATCTATAGCTCATGTCTTTGGACAGTGGGGGAAACCAGAGCACACGGAGGAAACCTACACGAACATGAGGAGAACATGCAAACTCCACACAGAAACGCCAACTGACCCGGCCGAGGCTCAAACCTGCAACCTCCTTGCTGTGAGGCCATTGTGCTACCCACTGCGCCACCGTGACACCTTAACTAAAATGAACTAATACAAATTATTAATAATGTTACAGAATGTTTTATCTTTGAATAAAACATTAGGAAAAATATTAAATATGCATATTACGTAGGTGATAATCAAAACTGTTTTTCGTGTAAGTGACACGGAGGCATCAGGAATGATACAAACATCATATTTTACCCACAATAAAGTCATTTCACATAATAATACTTCATAGTTTCAGTCACAAAACTATTCAGCTGGAATGTATGCATTATGAAAACAAATCCTGCAGGATAAATCAGTAACAAGAGTAAAACAATAACCAAGATTAAACAGTTCAATTACACAACCACAAGGTGATGATGCAGATTTATTTATTATTGTGTGTAAACATATGACATGTGAGTATATGGAGTTAGAGACGACAATCACAGCTTTATCAGTTAATGAATGCAATGAAATGCAATTGACAAAAAACAAATACAAACTACATGCTACAAACAACAATGAAATAATTACACAAGACACACAAGATGAAATGTCAGTCGATTCAATGCTACAAAGCCAAACACTGACAAAACACGTGGTAAGGTGGATTGTAAAATGGTTGCAGTGTTAATTCTCCTCTAAACATTATAAAAGTAAAATAAAAAAAAGAATGAATAATCCACAAGACTTAATGCTAGCCAACTTTGGTACTAAATAATTAAACCATTAATAAATCAATAATAAAATAAAAAGTAATAAAAAAAATCCATTCATTTGTATGAAAGCATTTTTTGTTGTCGTTGCAGAGTAGGTATTAGATTTACTCTATAACATTAAAAGTAAACAAAAGTATAAATTAAAATTATTAAAAATGTATGAATAAATTAATCAAGAACTTCATATCAGGTAACTTTGGCACTAAAGTAATGAATAATAATAATAATAATAATAATAATAATAACAACAACAACAACAACAACAACAACAACAACAAGAATAATGATAATAATAACAAAAAAATTATATTTATTTTATTTTTAAAATGATTTTTCCTCCAGTCATTTAGTGCCAAAGTTACTTAATATATATTATTAAAAAATAAAAATATAAAAAATGTAAAATTGTATACATATAAATTGCACAAAACTATGTTTTTTTTTTTTTTACATTTATTTGTATAAATGCAATTCATTTTTTTAAAATTGTTGCAAGTGTTACATTTTCTCTAAAACATTTAAAGTAAATAAACAAAAAAAGAACAAATGAAGAACTTCATGTCATGTAACTTTGGTACTAAATGATTGGCCCAAGTCAAACTAATAAAAATAATTCATATGTAAATTATCTTAATATAAATTAAGAACTTCATTTGTAGTTAATTTGGCACTAAATTATTGGGCAATATATATATATATATCATAAAAAATAAAAAGGTTAATATTAAACATGAAAAACTGTATACAAATAAATGACACAAAATTATTTGTATTTGTTTTACATTTATTTGTATAAATACAATTCATAATTTTATTACTGTTGCAGAGTTTAAGTGTTACGTTTCCGTTAAAAGTGCAGTATGTAAGTTTGACACCCGGTGGTTGGACTAGGTATTCAAAACACAAGCAAGCACAGGTTGCCAGATTGAGGACATCAACAGGAGCGAGTGACTATTGATGAACTTCATGTTAGGTCATTTTGTTACTAAATTATTAGCCACAAATATAAAACTATATAATAATCATTTAAAAATAA